CGATATAAGCATATTTTTTACAATTTGCGAGATTACAATGATGACCGCCTAATATTCCACAACGCAAGAAATTAACATTGCATATTTATCAGGAGTAGATAATAGAGAGATTCCCTATTATCTACTCCTGGGTATTTATAGAACGCTTCATTCTACATGTTCAAGTACCTCACACGGACAGGTTACATGCGCGCGTGGCGCGCTGCCAGCGTGCTGACCGCTTATATGCATGTACATGCGCGATGGCGCGTGCAGACGTGTGACCCGTTATATGCCAGGTTTACATGCCATGCACCGTGGCGCGCTGACCCTTATATGCAGCTCTCCATTGCGGCGCTGCACGCTTGCATGCGTGTGCAACCCTCTTATATGCAGGTTATATCCGGGCGTGGCGCGACGTCGCCGTCTCCGCAGCGTGGGACCGCTTTATGCAGGTTACATTGCGCATGGCTCTGCGTAGCAGCGTGTGACCCTTATATGCAATTACATGCGCGCCAGCACTGTGCAGCGTGTGACCTTATATGCCAGTTATATGCGCAATGGCGCGTTGCAGCGTATGACCCTTATATGCAGGTTACATGTCGTGCGCACGCTGCAGCCGTGCGACCCTTATATGCAGGTTACCATGTCCGCTGGCACCGTTTTTACCAAGCGTGTGACCCTTATAGCAGGTTACATGCGCGCGAGCACGTGCAGCGTGTGACCCTTATATGCAGTATACTATCGCGCCGTGGCCACGTGCAGCGGTGTGACCCCCTTATATGCAGGTTATATGTGCGTGGCACGTCTGCCGCAGCCGGTGTGCACCCTTATAGCGTGGTTATCCATGCGCGCAAGGCACGTGCAGCGTAATGACCCTTAGTATGCAGGTATCATGTGGCATGGCCACTGGCATGCATGCTGCGTGGACCCTTATATGCAGGTAAACATGCAGCGCTGGCCACGGGCTAGCGTGTGACCCTTATTTATGCAGGAACATGCAGCAGTGGGCCACGTGCACGCTAGCACCCATATGCAGTTACATGCCGCCTGGCACGTGCACGCGGGTGCACCCTTATATGCAAGTTACATGGCGTAGCGCCACGTGCAGCGGCCTCGTACCCTTATATCGCGTTATATGTGCCCATCGCACGTGCAGCTGTGCGACACCTTATATGCAGGTAACCATGCGCATGGCGCGTGCCAGCTGCCTGCCGACCCTTATATGCAGGTTACACTCGCGCGTGGGCGCTCTGCCACGCGGCGACCCTTTATGCACCGTTTACAATGCGCGCAAAGCACCGTGCAGCGTGTGACCCTTATATGCAGGTTACATCGCGCCTGGCACGTGCAGCGTTGACCCTTATATGCAGGTTACATCGCCGCGTTGCGCGTGCCCAGCGTGTGACCCTTATATGCAGGTCTACATAGCGCGTGCCCGCCGTGCAGCGTGCGACCCTGAGATGCCAGGTTACTATGCCGCGTGGCACGTCAGCGTTGTGACCCTTATATGCGCGAGTTACACTGCGCGCAGCACGTGCAGCGTGCGACCCTTATATGCCAGGTTACATCCCGCTGGCACGTGCAGCGTATGACCCCTTATATGCAGGTACGATTCGCGCGCTGGCACGTGCAGCAGCGTGTGACCCTTATATGCATGTTATAGTGCGTGGACTGGTGCACAGCGTTGGACCCTGTATATGCAGGTTACATCGCGCGTTGCACGTACGACGTTGACCCTTATATCAGCGTTACATCGCGCGTGCACGATACAGCGTGTGACCCTATATGCAGGTTACCGATGCGCGGGCACGTACAGCGTGTGACCCTTACATGCAGGTTACAATGCGCGCAGCCACGCCAGCCGTGTGACCCTTATATCGGGTATATGCGCATGCGGCGCCGTGCAGCGTGCCGAACCCTTATATGCAGCGTTATCATCGCGCGTGTGCGCAGTGCAGCGTCTCGGACCTTATATGCCAGTTACATGCGCGTGCGCGCCCGTGCAGCGTGCGACCCTTATATTGCCCAGGTTATATGCCGCAGTGGCACCATTAGCAGTGTGCCGACCCTTATATGCAGGTACGATCGCGCGCAGCACGTGCAGCGTGTGACCCTTATATGCAGGTTAAGTTGCTGGCACGTGCAGGCTGTGTGACCCTTATATGCAGGTTATACTGTGCATGAGCACGTTGCAGCCTTCGTGACCCCTTATTGCAGGTTACAGCGCGCCGCAGCACTGCCACGGTGACCCTTATAGCAGGTAACATGCGCGTGCACGGCAGCATGTGACCCTTATATAGCAGGTTTATATGTGCCATGGCGCGTTGCCGCGTGTGACCCTTATGATGCGGGTTATCATGCTTCATGGCGCGTGCCAAGCGTGCACCCTATAGCAGGTTTACATGCGCAGTGGCGCGTCTGCAGCTGTGCGCACCCTTATATGCAGGCTTACATGCGCCGTGTCCACGCTGCAGCGTGATGACCCTTAATATGCCCAAGCTTATATGCGCGTGCGCACGCCTGCAGCGTGTGACCCTTGATATGCAAAGCGCGGGCGCTTACATGCTGCGCCTCGGCACGTGCAGCGTGGTGACCCTGGTATAGCAGGTTACGATGCGCGTGCGCGCGTGCACGCGTGCGACCTTATATGCAGCGCTTACATCCGCGCGTGCACGCTGCAAGCGTGTGCACCCTTTCTATAGCCAGGTTAACATGCGCATCGGCACGTGCAGCCGTGTGACCCTATATGCAGGTACCATCGCGTGCCACGTGCAGCGTGCCGACCCCTATAGCAGCCTTACGATGCGCGTGGCGCGGCACGCTGCGTTCACTCGCTGCACCCTATCATGCATCCGTTATATGTGCCAGCCCAGCCACGTGCAGCTGATGCGCTGACC